CCGTCGGCGCCCTGGCAGCGGCCGGCGCCCGCACGGTGGCGGCCGCCGCCCCCCGCCACGGACGTCGTCCCTGGCGGCCGAGGCCGCAGCTGGGCGGAGCCCCCTGGCGCGTTGGCGGCGGCCTCGCGGTGCCGCGTGGCGGCGCTGGCGGCGGCCAGCGGCGCGCTGGTGGCGGGGCGAAGGGCGCTGCTGGAGATCGGTTCTGGTCCAGCCTACTGCCGGAATGCGTAGTGAGGATGTGCTGCTGCATCAGGGCTGCCCTTGCATCCCTGCTTCTTTCGCCCCTCCTGGGCCAATACTGTCGTCCAAGGAGCTCCGAATGCAAACGGGACTTCTAAGGGTGTTGCTTCCTTCACTTGCGTGCTCACCGCGGATTTCGACGGTGTCCCCGCCCGCATTTGGCCACGGCATTTCAGCCCCACCAGCCCACCCTCGTATGTGAGGATAGGCCTCGCAAGTCCAGAAGGACCCAGCATTGATAAACACCCAGGTGGGTAAAGCCGGCCAGTGAGGCCAAGGCCACGCCAGTGGGGGTAAAACAGGGCTAGGATCGGGATAAATCGCCCCAGAGCTTTCCGGAGCACTCTCAGAGCGTTCCGGAACGCTCTGGAGCGGCCGCGGCGCCCAATCCACCCTCCAAACCCGCCGATCCTCATAGATTTCGAGTTAGCCCGATCCGATGTTGTCCCGATCTTCGCGTCGTTTTATACTCTTGGATGTTCTGTTTCTTCTGGCCGACAGAGGGTCTCATCTTCTTAAGGGATGTTTTTCTGGCCTACGTCCGATTGCATCCGATTCGGAAACTCACAGGGGCCTCGCGCGGCGCACAGTGGGGGGGGGATCGGGAGTGGTCAAACGATTCCCAGGAGGGGGCCTGTGCTGCCGGGGCGCCGCCCGCGGGTGCCGCAGCCCGGCGGCGCCGCGCGCGCTCGTCGCGGCAGTACTTCCAGGGGCCGGGCCCCTCCGGCGGGGTGGCGTCCGAGAAGGACGTCGCGGGGTTGGAGGCCTGGCTCAGGCCGCATGGGGGCGCCATCGACGAGCCGAAATCCTTCACATCAGTAATTTTGGGTCTCGGAGCCCACAGGGCGGTTTTTCATGTTTTCCATTCGACGTTCCATGAAGCCCGATGTCATTCCGAGGCCGCGCGTCGAACGTTTTCGATGGCGCGTCGCGTTATGCGACGTCACGTGCGTTGGGGTCGTCAAAGGCTTGCGTGCTGCAACCGGGCGCGCCGCGGGGGCGCCAAGCCAGACGGGTGGGATATACGGCATGTGCGTGTCGTGTCGACCGGCGGCGACCCCGCCAGCGGCGTTCAACGTTGAACGCCGCGGGCGACCCAGGATGGTTTCGAATACGGCCGATCGTTCGAGGTTGAACGATCGCTGCGGTCTCAGAAACCCACGCCGAAGTCGGCACGACGCGAACCTGCCGTAAGCGGATGCCAAGTGGGCTGTTCTTGGCCCAACCTGGCGTTCGAGGAGGTGGCGCAAGTGTGCCAGGTGGTTCAGGGAGGCATAGCCCCGCCATGTGGGCGGAGCCAACCAAGCCAGGGCATCTAGCCAGGTTGGGTCAGGTCATACATAGATGAACCACCTTGGCATCCGCTTCCAGACCCCCTAATGATCCACTTGGCTCCCCCCGCGGCAATCCACGTATGCAGATATCCGGCGATATGATTTCTTCAACGTGCGGCACCACAAATCCAGACCTCACCTGGGGCCAGATTGTCGCCCTGGGCCACGCTTTGGTGGTCGCGGGGTTCGAACACGGGCCCCGGAAGCCGAACCGACGAGCACGGCCCACATCGACGCCTCGTCGGAGATTTGGGTGCAGACCCTGCGCAGGATCCTGCCCAGGTGGATCCCTGTGGGCCCGGGGTCGGTGCACACTCGGTGGTGGTGGGCTGTCTCCTGTGTTCGGGCCGGGGCCGGGGCGGGGAGTGTGCCCCGAACCCGGGCCGGGGCCGGGCCCGGCGAGGGTGGGCGCAGAGGTGCAGCGGAACGACGGGTGACAACGGTCGGGGGCGGAAAAGAGGGGGGGTGATGACTACCCAGATGGTCTGGTACCGGAAATTTTCGGTAGCGATTTCGACGCACCCCGAATTTCGGTAGCGACCGGATCTTCGTTTGAGGGCGTTGAGAAAGCGGATTTCAGAACGCTCTGATACCGGTATTGGGCGCTACATTTCGGTATTTCGGTAGCGACCGATCTTTGCGGAGCGCTACCGAACATTTTCGGTAGCGGACCATCGGGGTAGGGGGGGGTGGATATCATGGCGGGGGCCGTGATATTTCCCCAGATTTCATGGCGCCTCTTCTTATATTTCATTGCGTCCCTGGCCCCCCCGCTGGGCCGCGCACATGCCGCCGGTCATGATTTGCACCCCCCCCCTCTTGCACACCCCCCTCTTGGCCGCTCCCGAAACGGTCGAGTAGGGGATCGACTGCAGAGCGGATGTACCCCAGAATGTGTTTCTCTCGTCGGATCGACGAAGCCTGCCTAGAATGCTCGCGCATGTACCAACAGTGTTAAGGACTGTGCATGGACTCTCCGAGAAACTGGATTCGGGGGGGAAGTCAATTCTGTGATCGGTCCCTTACTCGAAGCGGGGTCGACAGCGCTGGCATTCGCGCGTAAGCTTCCCGCGTGGGGTCGCGCGTAAGAGCCCTCTTCTCCACGCGGTGTGCCCCGCTGGCGAACCGCGTAAGCCGCGGCGTGCGGCCGCTGTGCCTTCGTGCGTGCCCAGACCCCGGCGCGCTGATTGTGTCACAGCGTCGACCCACAGATGTCTCGACCCATTCCTCGGGACCAGTTCTTCATCCTGAGGCTTTTTTGTCTCGGTCCCGAGGCCCAGTCGTGGCCCCCTAGGGCAGAACATATGCCAAACTCAGTCGTCGTGATTTTTTTATGACTCGATGGGCGTCTGGGTGAGACCCATCTCCTCTCGTCGCTCAGCTGGCGCCGGCGGTCTCCGGGCCAGGCGGGAGGGCGCCCGCTTCGAGGGGGTCAGCATCGGGGCGTTCGGCGGCGACAAGGGCCTCGGCGTCCGGGCCGCGCGGCCCTTCCGGAAGGGAGAGGTCGTGATGGAGGTGCCGAGGTCCGCGGCGGGGGTCTATCCGCGTCCACCGCCTGGGGATGGTGAGGCCTCGGAGTGCGCACAGAGAGCCCCTTCAGGTAGTCCCTGCGGGCCGTGGCAGGCTTCCAGTACAGCCGGGGCCCTGCAGAAGGAACCCTTTTCGTTGGGGAGGGGCTCGGTGTTCCTTGATTGTTCTACAGTTTGCTTTCTGTTTTCCTGAGGTTTTCCATGGGAAATCGAAGTTCAACTTATGGGAGAAAGGGGCCCCGTTCCTTATCTAGGGTTCCTTAGGTCAACGCCCCGACTGTAGTCCAGTCCAGGGCGGAACCAATACCTCAACCCCGAGGCGCAGAGCGCCCCAGGGGTGCCGCCAGAGGGGGCGCCAGGGTGTTGAGACCGCCCTGTGCTACTCGGGGGCTGTGGAGGCCAGCCGGGGCTACCTCGGGGGGCTGTCTGCGCATGGCCCGAAGCCTTCCCACCTGGGGAAACCGATGGGCACCAGGGGGCGGTGGACACACGGATGCATTCCCAGACTCCTCAGGAGCGAAACAAGGACGTACATGTACATGAATCCACGCTGGTTTCGAGAGCACGCAATGCACAAATGTTCGTATAACGCGGCGGGTCTCGCGAATCGAGGGGCCGTGTTCATGTACATAGCTGGGCGCGTACGTCCTTTGTGGGCTCCCTAACTCCGACGGTATGAGCTTCCCCGTCCGGGCGCTTCTGCACGAGGTCGGCCTGGGGGCCCTCTCTGTCGGGCTCCGGGGCGGTCCGAGCCGGGCCGGGGTCGAAGAGTTGCCCCGGGGAGCGTGGCCGCTGTGCCCTGAGGTCGGAGGCCCAATGGTCTCCATACATCAGGAGGGGAAAAAACACACAGACACAATTAATCCTCGATTCCCCAGAAAATATGGGAAAATATGGGAAGTGGGGGGGAAGACAAAAACCCAGAAAATATAGGAAAATATGGGGAATCTTTTTATTTGTGTGTATTTATTTGTGTGTCCTGGGGCCCCTTCAATACAGTCGGACCCAGGCGTAGGATCGAGGTCGGTTCGGGTAGGGCTCCCTCGTGCTATTCGTCTTCACTGGATGTGTTTGTGCATCTTGGGGAGGGCACCCTAAAACAGGGCCAGGATCGGGATAAATCGCTCCAGAGCGTTCCGGAGCGCTCTCAGAGCGTTACGGAACGCTCTGGAGCGGCCGCGGCGCCCAATCCATCCTCCAAACCCGCCGATTCTCAGAGATTTCGAGTTATCCCGATCCGATTTTGTCCCGATCTTCGCGTCGTTTTATACTCTTGGATGTTCTGTTTCTTCTGGCCGACAGAGGGTCTCATCTTCTTAAGGGATGTTTTTCTGGCCTACGTCCGATTGCATCCGATTCGGAAATTCACAGGGGCCTCGCGCGGCGCACAGTAGTTGCATTATCTAGCTTGCACACCCGCACCGTCAGATCTGGGATGACGTTCGCGCAGCGATGCTCCGACGTAAGCCCGTCGTACATCCGACGCACGTCCGACGTGAACCCGACGTACATCCGACACGGATTCGATGTCAATCGGGCCTTCGGCTGCTGCGCGAGCCCTCCAGGAAGGAGGAGGAGGAGGAGGATGAGGAGGAGGAGGAGGAGGAGGAGGAGGAGGAAGAAGAGGGGGAGGGGAAGGGGGACGGGGATGGGGAGGCGGAGGAGAGAAGGAGGAGGAGGAGGAGGAGGAGGAGGAGGGGGAGGAGGAGGAGAAGGAGGAGGAGGAGGAGGAGGAGGTGGAGGAGGAGGAGGAGGAGGAGGAGGAGGTTCGTGAGAGTGCATCCGCTGTCCGCTGGCGTCCCAGGGCGTCGCTTCCCCCAGGCGGCGGGCGGTTGGACCGCCCTCCGCCTCGTGCCGAGGAGCCTGTGCCTGGAGGCGCCCCTGGGCCCCGATGTGCCCGAGGGGCGTGGGCCCCTGGCGGCCGCCGCCGGCCCCGACGAGGACGACGTGCTGGCCACCCCCAGCGGCCGCCAGGCGCTGCTCGCCATCCGAGGAAGAGACGGCGGCGTGAGCATAAGCTTTCGGGGGCCCTTGCAGAGGAGATGATACAACAAAATACATGTTTGCACAGCACAAGAACGATAGCCGCTACCCTTCCTGTCGTCACCGCGGCTGCATCCCCGCCTCGAGGTTCTGAGCAGAGCGCACCTCTGGAGAGGTCCGGGGAGGAGCATTATCGGTACTTTTCCGCCTCCCATCCGCGCGGGGTTCTTGGGAGGGCGTTGAACCCTTGTCCCTGGCGCGCGGAGCGCGTCAGGGGCGGCGCCGCAGGCGTCGCCAGGGGTGTCCAGCGCGGATCCAAGAAATCCGCGCGGATTTCCGGAAGTTTGTGTCCATGCAGCTTTTTTTGTTCCTCTATCCATGGCGCGGAGGCTGCTGGAAGAAAGGCGGCAGGGGAGCTCGTCGCGGCACGCTGCCTACATTGGCACGCTGCCAGACCCGCCCCTGATGCACCCCCTGGCCGAGCCCTGGCCGCGCGGCCTCGCGGACACGAGCCCCCTCCTGTCGCGCTTCTACCGCACGGTCATGGAGCGGGACGACGCGCTGCTCGAGCTCCTCGGGGAGTGTGAGCCAGTCTGGAAGAAGCGCCGCTGGGCCCTGGGGGCCGTGTGGACCCGCGCCTTCGAGCTGCCAGCGGGCGGGGGGGGCCGCAGCATCGCGATGCTGCCCCTGCTGGACCTGATGAACCACTGGACTCCCGCCGCCGCGGAGGACAGGCTCTGGACCTGCCGCTACGAGGAGCGGGGACAGAGCATCGCGATGGTCGCCGACAGGGGCATCGCCGCCGACGAGGAGCTGGACTTCCTCTACGACAACAGCTCCGACGGCGTGCTGCTGGCCCAGTACGGCATCGCGGTCGAGGAGCCGGGGCTGAACCCGGCCAACCAGGCGGGCGTTGCCGTGGCGCCCGACACGGTGTGTTGTGCGCCCGACGGGCCGCAAGGGGCGGCGGAGCCCAGCTCGGGAGGCAAGCGCTGGGAGGTCCGTGGCCGAAGGCCGGCACGGTCCGGCAGGGTCCGGTCCTCCTGGGGCATCTTCTGGTTGAGATGTCTCGGCCTGGTATCTGGGCATTCTCGCAGCCGTGCGGCAGCGATCTTGGACCGTCGCGCGTGCTCGGGCTCGATCTGGCACGCTCTCGGGCTCCGTCCTGGGGCTGATGCTGGCCTGTAGTCCAGCTCAGTGTCTCCTCCTCCGCCTCCTCCGCCGCCTCCTCCTCCTCCTCCTCCTCCTCCTCCTCCTCCTCCTCCTCCTCCTCCTCCTCCTCCTCCTCCCCCCAGCTGTTGCAGCGAGGGCCTCCCGGCCCCTGCCTCCTGGCCCAGCCTCGTGTCCACGCGCGCCGCCACGCTGCAGCGGCAGGGCTGGGCCAGCCTGAGCCAGCCGCTCCTCTTCGCGGTGCCCCGCGACCTCCGCCGCGACGGGGCGCTGCTCGCCCTCGCGCGCTTCCTCGCCATCGGTTCGGCGGAGGAGGCTGCGGGGCCCGACCGAGCTCAATCCTGAGCGACTCGGGGGGGCCGCACCTGGGGCGCGGGGGAGCACTGCACGACAGAGCGACGCGGCAGCAACGAGGGGCACGGCAACGCCACAGGACCTGACGGAAGTCAGCCTTGAACGATCGGGGCCGCGGTGGATTCAAGGGTGAACGTTCGACGCGGTGTCGAAACCTTTGCGCGCCGACGCCGCACGAAGCTACCGAAAGTGATGTTCTATACGTATCGCGTAACCTCACCAGCCCCTCCAGTTGTTACGCCCAGACGAGTTGCCCTGACCATGGATGTGTAAGAGCATGCAATGTAATAAAGGGCTGGGTAAGACGTCCTACCCCAAGAGGGGGAGGATGGAGGAGGCATGGGAGGAGCAGGATGAGGAGGAGGAGGAGGAGGAGGAGGGGGAGGAGGAGGGGAAGGAGGAGGAGGGGGAGGAGGGTGGAGGAAGGAGGAGGAATATGCGGATGAGTAAGAGGAGCAGAGGGAGGAGGGCGAACAGAGAGGCCAGAAGTCTCTTGGATCCCAGAGTCTCTTTGGAATTTGTCCGAGAGCTTCTTGGAGTTCTTTCGGGGTGTCTTAGGGGATCTGTCGGCTGTCCCGGGAGGCGTACTGGGTTCCTCTGGGGAGCCTCTTGGGGCCCCTTCGGGGTCTCTTGTGAGCCTCTTGGGGGCACAGTGGGGGCCGCTTTGGAATTGAGGTCAAAGTGTGGCCAACACCAAACTAAAATCAGTGACTGGGGCGCCGTGGGTGCCCCTGGGGGGCCTCTTGGGGGCTTTTTGGGGGGCTTGTTTGGGGGTATCTTGGGGGCCTCTTGGGGGCCTCCTGGGCGCCTCTTGGGGCCGTCTGGGGGCACGCTGGAGCCCTGGGGGCCATATTGGGGCCATCTTGGAGGAGACCGATCAAAGTCGGGGAGCTCTTCACTTAGGGCTCCCGCAGGAGACAAACAACATGAGGCCAAAACCATCGTCAACACACTGAGTTTTGGCCTTCTCGCCGAGGCCTCTTGGGGCCTCTTGGGTGCCTCTTGGGGGCCTCGTGGGGGCCTCGTGGGGCCTCTTGGGAGCCTCTGCGCCCTTGGGAGCCTCGGGGGGCATCTTGGGGCCATCTTGGATGAGTTCGACCTAAGGACGGGAGCTTCTTGATTAGCGACCTCCCTCCAGGAGGCCCAACTATGGCCAACACATCGATGTCATCACTCAAATTGCTTTCTCGCCGAGGCTGCTTTGGACGCTCCAACTGCCCTCCCCATCCAGGTCCAGGGGTAAGGGGCAGGGGTGGGGTAAACCCTTCCCCGAAGGGGTAGAGGGGGTTTGGAAGAGGAAGCTCTCTAAACCACTCGCGCCCTACAGGGCTGCTGGGAATAGTTGCATCTTCATGGCGCCTCGGTTTTCGGAACCCCTTCCCGCAGAATCCGAGACGCAGTGGATGTGGATACAGACAATCTGGCCTCCACCGAGGCCAGACTTTCGTCCACATCCACTGCGCCTGTCGGACTGATTCGGCATCCCTTCGCCAAGATGCCAAGGCGCCGTGGAAATGGAGATGAGCCTGGTCCCCCGCGGGGCCACCCGCGGTCTGGGCCAGGGCGGCTGCCCTTCTCCAGGGGGGGGGGGCGAGGGCGTGAGGACAATCGCGCGTCGAGCATCGCGGGCGCGAGGGCGCGAAGTCAGGCGACCTCGCCGCCGCCGCCGCTGTCGTTGTCGTTGTCGTTGCCGTCGCCGTCGTCGGCGGCGGCGGCGGCGTCGGCGTCGGCGTCGGCGTCGTCGTCGCTTCGTCGTCGGCGTCGGCGTCGTCGTCGGTTCGTCGTCGGCGTCGGCGGCGTCGTCGTTCTTGCTCCTGCGGAGGCCGAGCGGCTGGAGGGCCGCGTCTTCTGGATGGGCCGCCCGGGCGCCGAGCGGCTGCGGGCTGAGGACCGGCCCGGCGCACCGCCCCGGCCCTGAGTCTCGGGTCGGGCGAAAGGGGGGGATTGGGAAAGGGGGGGTTACGAAATTAGCTGCATGCAGCTGGTTTCGGCCTCACCGAGGGGCCCATTCCTCGATACATAGCCACCTCTGGCGCCGGGAGGCGCCAGGGAAGTCAGCTACGCGAGCTGATTCTCAAACCCCCCCTTTGCTATCCCCCCCTTTCGCCCGACCCGAGAGTCGGGGGCGAGGTTCGAGGTTCGAGTTTCGAGCTTGGTGGACGTCTGCGCTGGCTCTCGGCGGCTCTCCAGCCTCGGATGCCCTCCAGCAGCTGCGTCTCGCCGGGTGCGTCCTGGGGGTGCCCAGGTCGTCCCGAGTGGCCGCTGGAGAGCCGAGTTCTGGCCCCAAGCCAGGGGCACGATAGGGGGGGATGTGCATAGGGGGGATGCATCGACCCCCTATCGCCCCGTGATCGCTGATGGGGGCCCGATAGCCCCGCCCCGCCCAGGAAGGTGCGGTCTCGCCATCGTGGACCGATCGCCGATCCATCAGCGATACATCGCCGATTCCAGGTCGATACATCCCCCCTGTGCCAGTCACCCCCCTATCGTTGCCCCTCCGGCCCTGAGAGCCGGGAGGGGCGCCGAAGTTACGAGGCTCGAGGTTATCGGATATTTGTTGGTCGCCGTCAACGATGACCACGACGACGACGACGTCGGCGGCGGCGGCAGCGGCGGCGGGAGAGGCGCAGACGTTTCTGGGTCTAGATTTTTTTCGATGATTTCACAAGGGCTCGGTGGTTTTCCTGCGATGCTCTTGCGGTTTTGAAGCTTTCGAGGCTGTCGAGGCTCGAGTTTGAGGTTTCGGGGTTCGAGTTTCGAGGATCTGAGGTGTTTTCGTGTTCCCGGCGGTTTGTCCAGCGTCGGGTGACTTCCGGCTGCTGAGCCTCGCCGAGGGTATTCCGGGGGAGCCCGGATCGTCCCGAGCGGCCTCCGGAGAGCCGATCTATGACCCGAGAACCTCAGGCGGCAGGGGCCGACCCCGAGATCCCAGCGTTGCAGTTTAGTTCACACTGGGCGTTCTCGCTCAGTGTCGGGCCCCATGAACCTCACAGCTCGTTGCGGCCTGAACACATCGGCAGGAAGATGGGGTCTAGGGTTCTGATCGCGATTGTTCGCGATGCTGTGTTTTGTTTGCAACGTCGGATCCCAGGGAGTCGCCGACGACACACACACACACACATACACACATCACACACAAACACACAACACACACACAACATACACAACACACACAGAGCACACAGTGCACACACAACACACCACACACAACACACACAACACAACACACAATACACACCACACACCACACACAACACATAACACACAACACACACACACGCAACACACCGCACACCACACACCACACACAATACACAACGCACAACACACACACAGCACACGCAACACACAAAACACAACACACAAAGTACACAACACACACAGAACACACACAAAACACACAGAACACACAAGACGCACACAGCTGACTCTGTGTGTGAATCTCTGCGTTCTGGACCTTCTGTCTGCTTCCTGTGGAGCCTCGGGCCGCCGGGCCATCAGAATCGGACCGGGGCCGCGAAGTGGGAGCACAGTGTTCAGGAGGGGAAGAAACACACAGACACAATTAATCGTCGACCCCCCAGAAAATATGGGAAAATATGGGAATTGGGCGGGAAGACAAAAACCCAGAAAATATGGGAAAATATGTGGATTTTGTTTATTTGTGTGTATTTATTTGTGTGTCCTGGGGCCCCTTGAGGTGTGCCCGTGGATGCTCGGAGAGGGGGTGGCCCCTCGCAGGAGGTGGTGCCCTGGTGCGGGCCCAGGGGCGTCTCCCCCCACCGATCGCGGAGCGCGCTGCGTCTCGCAGCGCGGCCTGCGCGCCCAAGGCGCTGGCTCCGCCCCCCCCCCCCCCCCTGCTGGGTGGCCACATGCGATCCCTGACCCCACCACCCCACGATTTCTAAGGGTGGGGAGGAGGGAGGAGGGAGGAGGTGGGGTTCACTTCGCTCGGGAGGTCCCGAACGAAGTGATCCCCCCCCTCTTAGACATCGTGGGGTGGTGGGGTAGGGTTCGCATGTGGCCTCCTGCCTGCCCCACCGTTTCCTGTCTCCAGCAAGCCGCGCACCGACGGCCAGTCGTTCCCCACGGCCGATCATCGCGCGGCAGCCGAGATCGATGGCTTCCTCGGGACGTGCGTCGGCCCAACGTGCGTGCACGCCGCTCAGCTCCGCCAGCAGCACGCAGCCCGGGCCGTCCCCCGCTGCACCGCCTGCGTCGTAGGGAATTCTTCCGGGGGGAAAGACGCACGCAGGCGCCGGTGCACGTCCTGCAGGGGGTGCGTCGGCGAGAGGAGTGGAGTCCGGAGCTCGAGAGGCGCGCGTGGGGGCTGGTCGTCGCCTGGGTGCAGGCGGCCCTCTCTGACACGGGCAACAGGGCGCAGCGGCTCTCAGAGGAGGAAGAGGAGGAGGAGGAGGAGGAGGAGGAGGAGGAGGAGGAGGAGGAGGAGGAGGAGGAGGAGGAGGGGGGAGGAAGAGAAGGAGGGGGGAGGGTGAGGAGGAGGAGGAGGAGGAGGAGGAGGAGGACGAGGAGGGGGGAGGGGGGAGGAGGAGGGGGGGGAGGAGGGAGGAGGAGGAGGAGGGAGGGAGGAGGAGGAGGAGGAGGGAGGAGGAGGAGGAGGAGGAGGAGGAGGAGGGGGGGAGGGGGAGGAGGAGGAAGAGGATGTTGCCAGAAGTCCCCTGGCCCAGGGTCCTCCGGGGCGGCCTAGCCGACCCCTAGCAGACCATCCCCTTCCGTGACGTCCTCCTCGCCTCGCCCTTGGACGCATGTGTGCGGCCGGAGGGAAGCTTGAAAGGCGGGGATGGCGTCACATAAGGTGATGGTTTGCTAGGGGTACGTTCGACCGCGCCCGAAAGGTGCCCCCCCCAGGATTTCCAAGTTGGCCCTCACGGCCTCCAGAGCAGTCCTCACGAGGCCCAGGGGCCCGACGGGCTCCAAATGGAGCGACAAGCTGGAGACACCTTGGGCCAGAGGCACCTTTGGCACCCCCCGCAGGAGGCGAGCTGAGACAACGGCAGTTGAGCGACGCCGAGAAACGAGGTCGTCTTCGTCGACACTGGCGCGCAAGCTGCTCGCGTGAGGTCGCACGGAAGTGCCCTCGCTTCCAGCGTAGCGTGCCGCGCGGGTGGCCCGCGTAAGTTGCGGCGTAAGGTCGCTGTGCCAACTCGTGCAAGACCCGCTTTTGATCGTCGCTCAGTCGGCCTCCAGGGGGTCCTCTCGTCGCGAATGCTGGCCGCAGCTCGGGGACCTGGTGCGGCTGGACCCCAGGAGGGGTGCTTGACCGACTGGGAGCTGCCGTTGTCTCATCTCGTCCAGCTCCGAGGTTCTTCGACCAGCTGTCCGAGTGGAAGGACTCGAATCTTGAAACACTGCGTACACGTAACTTCTTGGAGATCCGCGCGGATATCTCGGATCGGCGTTGGGACCCCTTGGCGGCGCCTCTGCGCAGGTCCAAGAAATCCACGGGGACCTTTGAAACTATGCTTATTCCTTTCTTGATCCTCCGAGGACAGGAGATTGGCGCTCGCGGTGGGGTCCGTGGTCGCGGGCGAGGTGGTGGTGCTGGAGCAGGTGCTCAAACATGCGCAGAGGAAGGCCCGGGGCAGAGCGATCCGCAGGATACGGCTGCCGCAGAGGCGACGACCTGTGGGCTCGTGAGGTCCACCCCAAAGATTCTTCGAAGGAGAAACAGCGCCATAAACATATGTTTGTCAGTTCCGCGCGGATTTTTGGATTTCTTGGAGCGACGCTGGTCCCTTCCTGGCGGCGCCCGCCTCCAGCGCCGCCCCTGGCGCGCTCCGCGCGCCAGGGAGGGGCCCAGCGCCGATCCAGGAAACCCGCGCGGAGCTCCTGAAGTTGTTGTTTATGCATCTTGTCTTCTTCGATCGGCCCCTGTGCCAGTTGCGTCAGCGCGGGACGCTGGTGCTGTGGCCGCGCGGGGGAAAAGAACGGCGTTCGAGGAGGATGAGTGTCGCTAGGATTATGATGTTCCAACCTACTTTAGCCTTGGTCACCAGAAAGAATTTCGAGCACCAAGAGGGTATGGAAATTAGAGTGGTTTCGCGTGTCGGGCCCTGCGAGGCAGTACTCGTTCGACATGTTCCGATACTTTTCTGGGTGCTCGAACTGAAGTACGTCAGGAGCAACATAACGCTAGGAGTGGTTCTCCCTGAGGCCCTCATGGCCTCGTGGGAGGTGCTCTGGAGGCCTCTGGGCCTCCTCGGGAATCCGGGTGCAGCTTGGGCCAGGGATGGTAAGGCCTCGGTTTGCGCACAGACAGCCCGCCCAGGTATGATGGGCCCATCTTCCACCACCACTACAATGTGCAGGGGAGGGAGGAGGAGGAGGAGGAGGAGGAGGAGGAGGAGGAGGAGGAGGAGGAGGAGGACCTCCTCATCCTCTCTTCTCCACCGTCCTACATTTGGTAGTGGTGGGGGAACTATGACCATCAAGGTAAGGTAAGCTCGCCTCGTGTCGACCGGCGGCCAGCCCGCCGCCAGCGTTCAGTGTTGAACGACGCAGGATCCGTCGATATTGAACGACCTGGCGTTTTGGTGAAACGACCTTTCAGGGTTGAACGCTGCCCGCGGCGTCAGGCACCGCCGCGGGGGTCGACACGTTCGATGTTTCGGGGACCTTCCTGGAGCCCACCTGACGGATCTGTTCGACCCCAGTTCGACTCAAGTTCGACTCAAGTTCGGCTCAAGCTCGACTCGGGTTCGACTCAGGTTCGACCCGGGGCCGACCCGAATCGACTGGCGTTCGACGCAGCTCCGACGCACGAGTGCAGCGAGTGGCTCCAGGAAAAGGTCCCCAGAGCGAGCAGCCAAGACGCGGCGCGCGAGCCCGCGGCGCTCCGGGGTCGGTCTCCGCGCCTCGACCCGGGAGCGGCGCGTATATACGGCGGCCCACCTGGGGCGCCGCCGCGGGCGGCGCCCGCGCGTCGAGGCCGCCCCGAGCTCTACACCCTAGGCGATGCCTAAGAAAACTAACATTTTCGGCCAGAGTCTCGATTATTCTTAACGTTTCAATGTAAATCCTAGATTTGAATGGAAACTTTAGGTTTTTATTCAAGTTCTGAGACTCTGAATTTCTTAACCCATGATTTCTTAAGCATTTCGCAGGGTGTACTCGGGCGGGGGTGGCCATGGAGGCCAGCTGGCCAGCCGGGACCACCTCGGGGGTGCTGCCTGTGCCCAAGCCGAACGGAGTCGCAGCTCCAGGAGGAAGGGCAGCTCCTCCCTCCACCCTCCTCCCTCCTCCCTCCTCCCTCCTCCCTCCACCTTCCTCCCTCCTCCTCCTCGTTTCCTCCTCCTCCTCCTCCTCCTCCTCCTCGTTCCCTCCTCTTCCTCCTCCTCCTTCTCCTCCTCCGCCGAAGCGTGCGCGCGCCGTCGATTGCGCGCAGGGTCGTCGATTGCTCGCTGTGGCGTCGGCAGGGCGCGGTCGCCGTCGCGCGACCTGTGGGTGTCCAGCCCTCCCGGGGAAGCTGCGTGTCGCTTGCGCCACCGGCTGGGGGGGGGGGAGCAGGCAGCAGGCCAGGAAGGGCAAAGGGGAGGCAGGGGGGAGGCAGTGGGTCGGCAAGGGGGAGGTGGGGAAGAAACACACAGACACCATTCATCGGCGATTCCCAGAACATATGGGAAAATATGGGAAGTGGGGGGGAAGACAGACACCCAGAAAATATGGGAACATATGGGGGATATTCTTATTTGTGTGTATTTATTTGTGTGTTCCAGTTCCCCTTCAAAGGGGGAGGTGGGGGAGGGGGGAGGGACAAGCTAGGTGCGCTCGCGTCATATCTGACGTCCTACCCCTCCCTCCCATCCCTTACCATGGCGCTGATTTTCTCTATCCGCGGACGCGTGTCGTAGCGGACCTGTGGCTCCGCGCGCGCGTGCGTAGTGGGTGGTGGTGCGCGTGCGTGCGTGCGTGCGTGTGTGCGTGGTGGTGTGGTGGTGGTGGTGGTGGTGGTGGGTGGTGGTGCTGGTGCTGGTGGTGGTGGTGGTGGTGGTGGTGGTGGTGGTGGTGGTGGTGGTGGTGGTGGTGGTGGTGGTGGTGGTGCGGCGCGGTGGTGGCGGGCGGATGGGCGCGCGAGAAAGAGGCCCGCGCTGGGGCGAGAACGCCATCCTGAACGACGGAGGCCAAACACCGATCCGAAAATGAGGCCCACGCTGCAGCGGGAGCACGATTCGGAACGATTCGGGAGCAGAAATGACGCCTGCGCCTCAGCGAGAGCAGCATTTTGAAAACAAGCGCAGGCGAAAACCCGTTTCCCGGGAATCCTGTGTGTAAAAAACAGTACGCGGGGGGGGGGTCGGCCATCTTCGGGACGCCATCAGGGGAAGTGGGAGAGTTTTTTTTCATATTGTGTAATTGTGTAGAAGAATGGGCCAGGAGGGGGAGGAGGACAGGCGTAATCATCGCCAGGCGCAGTGGCTCCACGCCCCTGCGTCCATCGCAATTCGGGCAGGAAGAGGAGGAAAAGCAGCAGCATGAGAAGACGAGGAGGTAAGACGGAGACCATCGTTACTCATTTGTGGATCGTTATCACCTCCATCACCCTCTCAGACCAGGTGAGCACATACTCTATGACTTCGCGCGGGACTTTGTACTTTCCCTTGGTGTTCCCTTTATTTTTGAATGTCCTACTGCGACCGCCCCGCTGGACACTACTGGGCTCCTTCTGGTTGTTGTTTGGGCAAACTTTAGGGCCGCTTAGGCCATCTTGGGGGCCCTCTTTGGCAATTATGGGGCCCTCTTGGGCCAAAGAGATGCCCTCCTCTACCGTCTTGGGGCCCTCTTGCGGCCCCCTTGGGCTCTTTTGGAGCCCTCTTGGGGCCTTTTTGGGCTTTGGTTTTCGGAGGGCCCACGGGGCCATTATGCGATTCTGCAATCAATGTGTCGTGTCCCTTGAGGGCTTCTTGGGCGTCCTCGTCGTGCCGTCTTGGGGCGTCTTGCAAGCTTCTCGGGCCGTCTTCAAGTCATCCCCAGGTCTTCTGGAGGCCCGTTTTCATGCTCCTTTCGCGGGTAGGGCACATGTTGGTTGTTTACTTTCCGTTTCTAAAGAATAATAATTGTTGATGCACCCTTCCCTTGACCACTGCATTTTTCAATTAACATGCTCCTCTTGGGGCTCGCACCCTGTTTATCGGGAAAGCTTGGTGCCACCAAACTGGTTTGTTGGGCACCGAACTATAACAACAACGGCTCCTGCCTGATATGTCCTCACAAAGTGTTCCAACATCGCGCTCTCGCACGGGACTTCTTCACAGTGTATGCAGGAATCGCGCTCTCGTGTGGGATTTACACGCGATTTATTCAGACCCCGCGCCTCGACACTCAGGAATCACGCTCTCGCGTTGGCCTTTCTCGCGTTTTACTTGAGAATCGCGCTGTCGCTCGAGACTTCCTCGCGATTCCAGCAGGACTCACGCTACAGCAACCCGCCTGCTCGACCTGGCCGCCTGGGGCCCGCCTTCCCGGCCCGCCCGCTAGGGTCTGCCCGCCCGATCTGCCCGTCTGGTGCTGGCACATTTGTTCTGCTCCTAGCCTAGCCCCCTCCTGCGCATGTCTCTCGTGCCCCATCATTCTCCCTCCCCCTATCATCTGTCCTCTCTTCCCCTTGTTTAGGGGCTGCGCTATATGCACGTGGCAGGTAAGGGTGAAACACCCCCAAGGGGGTACGATGGAAGAAGAAGGTGGCGGGACCAAGGGCTTTAGATATAGGGCAGGTTCGCGTCGTGTCGACCGGCGGCGACCCCAGCGCGTGGCCCAGAATCGGCCCATCCTTGAACGACCCGGTCTTAGGGCCGATCGCTCAAGTTTGAACGATCCCCCCGCGGTGTCAGGAACCTACGCCGGAGTCGACACGACGCGAAAATGCCGTACGCGTTGAACGGCACGCGGGCAGGTATGAGCGAACAGTCTTACAATGATTGTTGTTGCTGCTGCTGCTGTTTTGACACCCGTCGGGTGGGCGGTTTTGATCCCACTCGGCGGGGTTGTTTTCGGCCCTTTAATCCGTAAGGGCTTCGCCCTGTGCAGCCGGCCCCCTGTCTCGCATAATGGGAGATGCAAAAGCTAAGTCATGAGGTCTGGGCGCCGCCGTGAAGCAGTGTCGGGACCTGTTTGTTTTTCGACCCTGACCCTACATACGGATCTGCTAAAGGGGTGCCACCGAATTTCAGAAATGTGGCAAATCCCCTGTGTTTTTGGACCCTGACCCTACGGATCTGCGTGAGGGCTGTCACAGAATTTCAGGAAAGCGGCAAATTCCGTGTGTCTTTGAACCCTGACCCCGCCGATCTGCGTGAGAGGTGCCACCGAATTTCAGAAATCTGGCAAATCCCATATGTTTTCGGACCTTGACCTCGCCGATCTGCGTGAGGGGTGCCATCGAATTTGAGAAATGTAGCAAGTCCCATATGTTTTTGGACTCTGCCCCCGCCGATCTGCGTGAGGGCTGTCATAGAATTTCAGAAATGTGGCAAATTCCGTGTGCTTTCGGACCCTGACCCCGCCGATATGCGTGAGGGGTGCCGCCGAATTTCAGAATGTGGGAAATTCCTTGTCTTCAGACCCTGACCCCGCCGATCTGCGTGAGGGGTGCCACCGAATTTCCGAAATGTGGCAAATCCCATGTGTTTTCGGACTCTGCCCCCGCCGATCTGCGTGAGGGCTGTCATAGAATTTCAGAAATGTGGCAAATCCCGTGTGCTTTCGGACCCTGACCCCGCCGATCTGTGTGAGGGAGGGGCGCCACCGAATTTCAGAAATGTAGCAAACATTGTGTTTTTGGACCCTGACCCCGCCGATCTGCGTGAGGGGTGCCACCGAATTTTCGAATGTGGCAAATCCCATATGTTTTCGGACCCTGACCCCACCGATATGCGTGAGGGGTGCCGCCGAATTTCAGAAATGTGGCAAATCCCATGTTTTTTGACCCTGACCCCGCCGATCTGCGTGAGGGAGGGGTGC